CCCTTCTGAGGCACAAAGCTTCTCTGCCTTGTATTTGTGACAAAATAAGAAAAGGTCAAGGAAGTCAGAGAATGCTTATTTACCCTTGGTTCTCTCTCCCAGATCTCCATTGCATCGCTAAGTTTTCTGTGCCTTAGTTCTCCATTTGCAAGCTATATTGTTGCAAAGTTGTATTATATTCTTCAAGTTCACAGTTGTTAAGAAATTAAGAGAATCTAAATACCAAAAACAGAACAAGAAGTCAAATTCACCAATGGTTTGATAAATAGTCCTAAAGAAAATAGTTTTTTTGCAGGGAATAGCTGCCTTCATTATCTTATTTACAGGAAGGAAAAGACAATATAGTTGATGGCTGAAGCCCTGTGAGCATCAGGATTTATGATGGTGGGCAGAAAGAGAAAATTCAGTATTTAGATGAAGAAAAGCAACAGAAGACCTGTTGAAACCTGTAAGAGGTGGGGGTCATACAATGGTAATGACACAAAGGCATCAATAAATCTCCTAAAAGTCCATCTGGAGGGATGCTCCTGTGCTTAAGTGACATGAACTGAAAGTCACATTGTGTGCCGTCGGCCAGGGAAAGTCCTTGGGAAGAAGGAGGAAAGTAATGCTAAATTATATTAACATACAGGGATACAAATAGTTTTGCTGTTTCCTCTTCATATATTGCAATTGAGGATTGAAAAAGAAATAAAAATAAAAATAAAATTGACAAAGCCTAAAGTACAAGTGGATTTTAAGCCTAGAGAAGCCATAGAAAACTCAGTCACTACACCTGAAAGCAATGTTTGCAAAGAAGTTGTTTGAATTAACATTTCCAGTGTACTACCAGGAAGGCTATGGTGTATCTGATGCCAAAGTCCATTTTCATCAACCACTCAAACTTTTTTCATCTTCTACTCATTAGCTGGTTTTGAAATGGATGCCTATGAAGAGATACAGAAATACTGCATGCCTGTGGAAGTACAACTATCTGTGTTCAACATCCCAGCATCAAGGTGAATAATTCTTTTACTTTCACATCTGCATTTGCTATAGATCTGTGGTAAAAAAGACCTATCTCAGAAGAAAAGCCTTAGCCAATTATTGCTGGGCCTTTCCTCAGACAGATTGCTTCACAGAGCTGAAACATAAACACCTAAGACAAACAAAATAACCTGAGGTACAGGAAATCCCACATTTATCAATTTTGAAAACATAGTTCACCAGCAGCATCTTTGCAACAAAAGAATAGCTTGCTGCTGAGACACTGAGATTTTCTTTCCTATCAAGACATAATGCAAGCCAGGGTTCAGAAAGATCTATTGTCTTGTTTCTGTTGTCTGGGCCAGTATAAAGTAGCTCCTGCCACAGAAAGGACTTGCGTGCCTAACCCTTGAGGACATAGCTGCAATGTGAGAGAAGGGAGAAAAAGCTGTATGAACACTGCCATGAGAGAGCAGCATCTCCCAGGACAAGTTATCCCAGGGAAGCAGCCTGTCAGCATTCCTTCATCACCTTTCTCCATGCTGGAAGTGCCTACGGCACAGGGACCTCTCCCCTTCACCTACTTGGGTGGAGCTAATACAGGAGAGGCTAACAAAAACAGAGAAACTACCTTCAGTGGGTGCTGTCCTGTTTGCTCCAGTTGTCTGTCTTTCTATCCCTCTTCTGGCTCTTGCCTTTCTCTGCATAATTCTATGTTCATATCCATATTTGCCCTTCCTTTTACTGTTGATCTTCACCCAGCAGCTATCAAAACAATGCTCCCTGCCTGATTTTTCTTTACACATAATCATTAAAAAGCAACATTGATTTTAACACGGGGAAGAAAAGGACACTTGTCTCCCACCCACAGCCATTGCTCACCTTAAAATTTCTACTATGCTCTGAATTCTTAGGGCAAAACTGCTGTGGTATGTCAGCCATTCATATTTGTGGGATGAGGGTACATGACTGGAAGCAATAGATTTATGGTAGCTAAGCAACTCAGTTGAGGCACTGCAGAGATCATGTACCATAAGCCTGCTCTGACCAGAAAGTAAAAGAAGTTATACAAGCACCTTTTTAAATGAGGGGAAGATATATTGTGTGTCTAAATACCTCTACAATTGAAGATGGATATATGCCTCTGGTTCCTACTTCATTAAAAAACAACAACATACAATGTTAAAATCATTCAAGGCACTCTAACTCTCTCATGCCTGAATATATGACAGTATTTTAATTTGTTAGTCATAGAAAACAGGAATATTGAGTAATATACATTGACTAAAATGTTACCTATATTTAAAAAAATGAAATTAAATTAATATCTCTTTGAAAGGTCATGGCTTGCAAGTTTTTCAGCACCATGAAAAAAGAGCCAGGGCTGCAAAAAACATTATATAAGTATAAAAGAGATATATTCATATGAGATGCAGCTAGAACCTGATGATCTTTAAGGTCTCTTGCAGCTATTATATGATTTTCAAGAGAAATAAAACATCAACAAAGATTTGATAGCAGCCTCTCCTTTCAAGATAATGAAAATCATATGATTAAAAAAATATTATTGTGACCTGTCTTTAAAAATGCCCATTGTAATACTTCCTCCTATACAATTTTGCCATGTCCTATGCCCTGCCTCCAGTTAACCCCAAACACCCACCCTCCAGATGGGTTTACAGCCATCTCTACCTCACAACATTTTGAAGAGCTAAATTTTCTTCTAACAGTTGCCTTTAAAAGTCAGAAGAAAGCATTCAGTGAAATCAATAATAAGCAGATAAAATCCCAGTAGTGATACAGGAAGACAGACAGAGTCATGAGCAAGCTGTACAGGTCCACTATGGGAGAAAAATAAAAGCAGAGGAACTTAACACAGGCACTTTCTTGCTCAAATGCACAGTTTGAGAACTCTGAATCCCTTGTCCATGTTGCTTAAGCAGAGAGATGATATTCACCGCTTCAACAACTGTCAGTGGAAACAGAAGAGTTGTGAGAAGCTAGGCAGAAGGAGAAGCTTTAAAAGTAGGTAATTAACACTTAATCTGTCCATCAGAGTCATGTGAGTGTGCCAGTGCTGTGCAAAGGATGCTGCTGCATTTATGTGCACAAGAACAATTAAAAGAAATTTCTCATATCTGTGCTCAGATCCAGTTTTTCAATGCATTCAAAACCTCATTTCCAAACACAGTAAAAAAGTCTGTAGTATATTTTAGCATGCTGATTTTCAAATAAAAACATACTCAGGCAATTCAACTTTTGAAACTTCTATGAGATTTTAGCCCTCATCCTATCTCTTTATTACAGCAGATGCAAATTCCACTTAACACTCAAAATACTCACCAAAAAGGACTCAAATAATGCAAAGTGCTTTCCATTCTACCCACAGATGTCATTGGAAGAAATATTTATTTCATTCTTTCTAGCTCCAGTAAATTAGCATATGAACACTATGGAGACACTTGTTTGTTCCTGTATCTGGACTGTTGGTTTTTGGATGGAGTTTTTTGAGGGTTTGTTCGTTTGTCTTGAAAATTTCCATGAATGCAGATCCCACAGCCTTCCTGAACAACCTGTTCTTTTTCCCTAATCTACATCCCATAAGACTAGCTTACGTGCCCTATAGGAGAGGCAGAGTGAGCTGCCTGGTAAAGCTTGTTGAAAAGGAGTATAAGCATTGATCTAGTAGCAGACGAATCTAATCTGATAGTTCATGAAGAAGAAGGTACACAGGTTACAGGGCCAAGCTCCTTTTGGTAGCGTCAGGGAATATAACAAAAAGCAGAAATCACACATTGTTGTTGGGGTAAACTTCTGCCCATCATGACAGCCTTTTGATGAAGAATTTTCAGTTTTTCCATGTCCCTCTTGAACTGCAGGGGCCCAAAGTTGAACACTGTTCTAGGTACAGCTTCTTCCCTGTCAAGTAGAGGGAAATAAAAGCCCGTAGACAGAAATGTATATTCTGCTGGTAAATTATATGTCTGCTCTTACTTGAAGATGTTGTAAATGTGCAGAAAAGGAATGAATCCATTATAAAGGCATGAGGTGTGCAGGGGCATTAAGCACTTAACTGTCCAAATCTGATCTCAATTCCATTTTAGGCAGTCGCTGTTGTCATGATGGAGATGACTGATTTTCCAGTCAATGCATCAGTCACCATCCTTTTCCTCCCCTTTTCCCCCTCATTCTATCCCTCCCAAATAATAAATCTTATTTTACTTGCTTGTAGATTTAGGTGCTTGTTTTTTTAAGACTCATCTGAAATGTTTTGTTCAAACGACTCCACAGTCTCCTTAATGTTAACTGCCCTCTCCAAATGCCTCTCCAAAAGACATAAATCTGCATGCAGGATGAAGTATGAATTAAGCATTGCCATTTGTCTAGTGCAACAAACCAAAACCCAATAATCCTGAATTTGTGACTTCCTTTGTTCTTTGCCAAAAAATAAGTTGTCAGCCTGGCCTTTTCCCTTGTTCAG